TGGAACTATGTTCTGTTTAGTTTATGGTGAAGATAATAGTCAAATGTCTTGAATTTATTCAATATTAAAAGATGACTAATTAAGATTTGTTCTAAAATATATATATAATAAGGGTACTTGTTTGGTTACAAATTAATGTCAAAATTAAGGTAAACAATCATACAGGAAGCTATGTTAAAATTTAAGTGAAAGTATGAAGAATTAGAAGAAAGGAAGATGTCTTTAGTAGTTGTTTTTGTAATTGTTTTTGTTTGTTGGAGTATGTATGAATGTATTTTTGTGTATCTTTTGTGTAACAAATAAATTTATTAAAAAAAAAAACCCCAAAAAAAAAGAAAAAGAAAAAGAAAAATAAGAAACTTCTTTTTTCATATATTGTTTCTTATTTCAGGAGGTTTGATTTTTTTTTTTTAAAAAAAAACTCTTCTGAAATGTTAATAACTTTATCTTAATTTCTGGATCAACCTAAAGGAACTATTCTTATTTATTTGTAAAGCAATAAAAATGCAAAAAATTAAAAGGTTGATTAATATGTAAAGGGACTATGCTTAATGTCAGTTCCAGGTTGATTACAGCACAGATTTTTGGAGTATGTGTTCCCATCTGTTATAACCAATAATGTGTATAAAATCATAAGCTACTCAAGGTAGGCAGCTGGGCCAGAGTTTAACTTGCATTGAGCCCCAGCAGAGCTTTCATTTGTGTCAGAGCAGCTGCAGGGAAATGATGGTAAACTCATCATAGTGGATTCACTGCCTCCATGATGGCCACCTCAGACTATAGAAAACAGAGCCTTTGACCATATACAAAACAAAGATACAGACACATGAAGATGAATAGGAACTCTGAGACTGGAAGACATCAAAAAGGGGGAAAACTCAGGGGCTAAACGGACAGCCCCTAAGGAGCAATGTCCTGCTGCCCTTTTCCTTGCTGGATCAGGGCCACAGCAATTGCACACCCCGATCCAGTACTTTATCACTCTAAAAAGAACTGGCAAATGCTGCTCCTTTTTAGAGAAGCAAAAAAGCACCCTTGCCATCTCAGTGTCAACTTTTTGGCACTCCTATGACACAGAGTTGTGAACGCTGCACCAAGGGAGCACCCTAATGCTGCCTGCCATCTGTTTGTGTGGGCGGCATGACAGTGGCATCAGGGCGCTGTTGAGGCAGCTAGTGTGCAATCACAACACCCCACTCCACCCCCAGGCTGGCCCTTTTGGTTGGTCTGTACAGCTCCTCAAAGACTAAGGGGCTAAACAGACAGGCAAAAGAAGTGCTTTCAGGCTGGCTCAAAGGTGTGGTGTTTAGATGACACACACCTTGAAGCCAACAGGAAAATGCCTCTAGATGTGTTAAGGGAGAAAGCTGCTTCAAAAAAGAAGCAGGTTTTTTCCTTTTCTTCCTGAAAAGTGTGCACCTTTGCATGTGTGTACAAATGCACCAATGCCAGTGCAGCTCTAAAGGGATGCTCTTTCCAAACCCTAACTCTAATTGTGCATGTAAAAACCCCATTGCAGGAGCACAGTTAAAGGGATTAGTGCTGCTGTACACAAGTGGTGGGGGTGGCAATGCCAAAAAGAGAAATTGTGGAACTTCTAATGGAGATGAGTACAACATACACAAAACAGACAGTCAAAGAGGGAGAAGGATAGATGAAGGGAGGCATGATTGTACCTTGCTGGCATCTGCATGGGCACACCTCTGCTCTGATGCACTGTCCCAGTGAAGCACTGCAATTGCAAATGTGTGCGACTTTACAGGGACAGCCATGCAATGGGATGGCAGTTTCCAGCAGTGCACTCCTGTGAAGGTGCACAGGGATGGTGGTGGGGACAGTAAAAAAAAAAGTACTCAGCAGTGCAGCTTGAAGCCATGCTCTGTGGTCATGACATGCACACTCCAGCCACCTTGGGAGCTGGCGGTGGGGTTGGTGGGGTTTCAATGTGGGTTCAGAAAAG